TTATTTCCACAGGCCTTCAAGAGATGGTTAGAGCTCACTCAACCACTAGAAACTGCTTCCCTGTTTGGAGACTTGAGCCTCTCACAGACAAAATAATACTTACAAACCAACAGATTTTAACTTGCTTTCCTTCTTCTCACACTAGTATACAGAAAGCAACTAAGTCCTTCCAAAGCAAGTTGAAAAAAAAAAAGTATAAAAAAAAAAAAAAAAAAGAAGTATCTGAGGCTTAGTAAGACTTGTTTCCAATTTTATAACAAGCATTTCTAATATTCCTTGTCTTTCAGGTTAGCATACGTTTTCCTCTTGAAACTTATATGAGACAATGCAGACCCCGGGAATATGCATATATTTGCATCATGACAAAGTCACCTTTGGATATGCAAGTCTCAAAAGTCAATAATGCCACACAAAATAAATGTACACAATATAGATTGCAGTTATTATGGTTATTGGTTATGAAAGGAAAGGTGTAAATTCCATCACTAGTAGGGAATCCAGGACCTGAAGGAATGGAAACTCTGATACTAGACACAATTAAGCAAAATGTACTTCACAGAATTAAATGTACTTCACTAAAGATTTTGGAACCATTAAAAGCAGAACAACACATGCTACTTTGGAACTGTTTTCCCATGGCAGGACAAATAACTGCCACTGAAGTGTCACAGAATGTGACGGAAGATGTCTAAGAAATCTATTTGCCTATTTTGATGCATAGGCCATTTCCTCAAATGCAGATTTTCAGTAACAATTTTTGAAGACACTAAAGAGAATTTCCCAAGAGAAATGCATACAGGTCTACTTGTTCTCAACAAAAACTTTCTTCTTTAGGGTGGGGAGCAGATACAATGCTTACAAAGACTTTTCTGTTGCCTGTGCGTGTTCCCAGCTGGTGGAACACAGCTTGGAACAGGTCTCTACTAGACAGCAGGGGTGGAACAAGGTTTTGCAAAACAAAGAGTTGATTCCAGAAACTAAGAATGTCCTGTGAATAACTGATCTACCACAAAAGAAAAGGAAATGGAAGGGGAGGTAGCTTTTTCAGGCTTTGTTGTAATGCTAATTTATGAGATTAACTCTCCAAAAGAGGAAAATGTATCTGCTCCATGGTACAGCTTCTACAGAGTGGAGAATTTAACATATATTTAAAACACAGCAACAGACTGGTGTGCAATGTTCGTGTTATGCCACTCATGAGGTCATGAAAAAACCCACACTGAACAACCATATTAAGGCAGAGGTCAAGTTAATGGATATCTCCAGCTTAGTTGTGAAGATCATATATTTGGTTTATCACATGATGCATCTGAGGTGGACAAGAATCTGGTTTGCACCAGGCTATTTTTACCACTGGTTCTGGCAGCGATTCAGATCTTGATTGTCTCACCTGTATTACACGTTCACAGGAACAAAAATATGAGCTAGGCTGACCGCAAACAGCTGGCGCTCAAGCAAGCAGAAGGCCTTTCCTACAAAGAACAGCCTGCACCTGATCTGACAATAAGCCTTCCAGTCACAGAGCACAAGAAAACACTGAGAAGATGGCCCCAGGAAGTGATAATATTTTGCTTCCACAGCACGACGTTGCCATGTGAAGCATGAGGGTAAGACAGGCCACAACCCTTCCCCGGGAGCTTTCTCACTGAGGCAGCTACAGGCCCTCCCCGCCATTACACAACTTGTGCACTGTTCCTCAGCACTGGAGTCTGGCACAGAGCACTCCCTGTACGTCACCTCACGGCTTATCACACCACCTGGCAGAGAGGCTCCCGACTTACACCATTCCCTTGAATGTTGTGATGGCCCACAAAGCAAACCTGTGTTGCTCACCTGACCTCTTATTTTCTTGTTGGAAATGCAGGTTCCCAATGTATGACGCAGCTTCACATATCTAATAAATACATAAGCAGCACTAGAGCTACAGCACACAATAAACACATTTTGATTCAGGACTTGAATCTTTTACAGCAACTATTCAGGAGCTGCAACATTGCAAAAAATGGCTCATCTATTAGCAGGAATTATATTTAACTGGTGAACAAAGCGTAGCTTGTAAAAAAGGACAAATGGAAATGTTTTTTCAAAAGCTGAATTCAGGTACAAAAAAACTATCTTGCAATTAATTTTGGCTATAAACATATAGTTACCTCATGGAATCCTTGCACATGTATTGTTTCATACGACGTGTACCTGTTTAGGAAAGGAAACATATTTATTGTTAGTTAATAAAGCAGTCTGACTGTATGCCCTTCTACTTAACCCAAACATAAAGCTGAACTTCTTAAAGCAGTTCCTGCAAGACAATAAAATGTACTGGTTTATCTTTTAAAATATCTGAGACCTGAATTCAGCCCAAACTCTTTCAAAGTACTACAGAAGCCTGAAGGCTGGCCTGGGCAGTAGGTGATCTTCATGTGTTTCCAAAACCTCATGATTAATAAGCACAACATATGAAAATCTTTTTCATCTTCTGGTTTGATCTGTGTGGGGTTTTTTTCATTAGGAGTCTGCAGATCTTTTTATTAGAAAGTCTCTGGCTACACAATTGTCTCCAGACCACCATGAAGTGTCAGCAGACACCTAGTCGGAGAGCGTGCAGTTATTCCGTCTGTGCCTGTCCTCAGCTGTGCTGCGTGTACCTCCTTCATACCATGCTCACTCAGCCAGTGCATTACCTCAGCCCCCCAGGTCTCCAAGTACTTCAGTCTATTTGACCTAAAGACATTTGACCCAATAAATACCCACCTTTTAAGCAGACCACAAAAAATTTCCGATGTGCCTCTTCTCCTAGGATAGTACTACATTCAGTAAAGGTGGCAGAATCCAAGCCGAAGAGGCTCAGCCATGAATACTACAGACGGACGACTGAGGTTTGCTGGGAACCCTCTCTGAAAGCTCTCTCTAAATTTACCCTGTTCTCTACCTTCAAACAATCAATGACAGAACAGTAGAATTCCACCCTCACTTTTATCACTAGCAATAAAGCCTGTTATGAACTGAGGTTGTGCTGTGTTACAGACCAATCATTCGCTTTGCCCTTCTCCAGTGCTTAAGCTCCATGTCACAAAGCCAAACCCATGCATGCTACAGCCAGTCGCTGTAGAATATCAGAATACAATATATATTTTTTTTTCCCCTGTGGAGATAAACAGGAACATCAGCGTTTACAGAAATGAGTGCAAAGTCCCAGCCCTTCCATCTGCTCTCTGCTTTGAACACCAGTTTGGCTGTTGGATTGAGAATTTCAGCAATAGTATTTGTCCACCTCACTAATATCTTGAAGGCCTTAATTTAAACTCCATAAAACAAGCCAGGCTTCACGGAGCAGCAAAGTGCTCTTTACTTGCTTGTATAACAAAATTGACTCATGAATGATTATATCAATTATAATGAAAATCCTATATGCTATTAACTTAAGATAGGAAATACAGCACTAAAATAAGATAATATCTCCTACCGTAATTCCTTTCCCTGAGGACTTTGCTGCTGCAGGCCCAAAAAATAAATGGCAGACAGTTACAACCTCTTTTATTTTGCTACCTAGCATTCACTTCGCAAATTTATGGTTTTTCCTTATCCCTTTTAATTATGATCTTTTTTCTTCCAAAACATTAACAAGATTTTCCTACTGGTACAAACAGTTTGTTACAGGTGGTGGTGTCAGTACGGTGTAGAAAGCACAGAGTTATGAAAGCTCATATTGTGCACAAAGACAGAGCAAAGACAACATAGATTCATCTACTCTGACCCCAAGTCTTCCATCAGAAAGGCTTCCTTTCCTCATGTGCACAAAGGTACCTTCTGGATTTGCTCCATGACCTTTTTCCTGTTTTGGTTCTGTCACAATTACACTGCTTCGCCAAATATACTTGCCATCACCACAGACCTTTTCTTCAACAATAAGCATTTAGCACATCTTGTGAAGAAGTCTAAGGGCTTCCTCATACAAAGCATCATGAAACTTTTGGAGAAATCTGAGCTGTATTAAAATCAATGGTACCTTTGCCAGGAACTTCAACGCTGTCAGGATTAAGCTCTGTCTTGATTTATAATGTTGCTTTGATGATGAGTATTCCTGAGAGGAGATTTTGCTAAGCAGCCAATCAAAATCATATGTCAGTCCAGCTTCAGTCACAACTTTTCCCTAATTTGCATAAAACAACTCAAGATTTGAGTTTCTGCAGAAAAAATAAATCAGGTAAGTTTGACTTAGTTTTAGGTTTCACTGGAAAAGTTACACTCAACTTTGGTATGTCACTGTTTGCTTAAAAAACATTCTTTCTGAATTCCACCACATTTTTTTTCCCCTCTAAAGAGTTTTAGGTCATTCTTGCTAGAGATGAGTGGATTTCATCAAGCTGTAGAACTACTTTGATGGTCTGGAGTGTATTTTACTGGGTCATGGATTTGCTGCCTATAACATTTGCTTAAGGAGCATGTCATCACATCTCAAACAAAAACAGTACTGTCATTTGAGCACTTTTATCAGGCTTTGCTGTCCTGGCATCCAATGAACCACAAAACTTGTTACGTGCACTTTTAAATTATGACTTTACTGGGAGAAGTGAATGAAGCTGAATTTGTATTTTGGGCTGCTTTGCTGTTTTTCTGGCTGTTAGAACTGTGAAGTTTTAGGCTGTGGTGGCTGGCGGGTAGAGCTTGCTTGTCAGTTTTCTTTCACTGTCTGTCCATTTGTGTGTGTAGTTTGGTGTTTGTGTGGTAGGGGCATTTTTTAGTTGCTTGTTTGGCTTTTTACTGTGAGCTGTCGGATCCTGATTCAGTCTGGGTTCTGCCAAGAGGTGGAAATGAGAGACCCATGACATCATGAATGGGCTAAAGGGGTATAGGTGGCAAATGAAAACAATCTTAAGCTTCCTATGGTATCTGCTCTACTGAGAACCTTTAGCTTGTGTCTAAAACATGTGCAAGTGTCTCTAAAAACTCAGAAATAATCCGTTCAGAGCACTACACCACTCCATTCCAATGCTGCTTATAATTTTCAATATATCTTCTAGTGCCTTTACCTAAGAATATCCTGATAAACCAGGGCTTATTCTGAATATAACAACATCAATTTATATTTATACAAATGTTAGAGGGAGGGCATCTCCCCTTTTAGTGCAGATGAATTATTTAAAAGGGAGGAGGGGAGAGATAGGATCATAACCAAAGTACGTGCCTTATCAAAATTGTCAGAGCTTTTACATTCCATTTCCTTGTGATAAGACTCTTGTGCTGAGCTGGTATTCGGAAGTGAGCCCAAAGGGCTCACTGATAAGTTTACATAAGGAAGGAAATAATCAATTTAGGGCTGTTACTGAATGAGCTCTTATCATGTTCATTTCCTCACTATTGCTTCTCAAGCTAAATATTACATGTTTAGGAGCAACTTCAAAAGATTTACTATTCTAGCCTCTGCATTTTATTAAGGAAAACTCTTTCAATAGCATGAAGCATTTGCTTGCACCACAATAAAAGTACAATTCACACACTGAAAAACTTTCATTTTAAGACACTGATATTTATGCTGAAGGAAGCAATACATTGTTGCAGGAAGACTACATTTTTCCAGCCCACTATTTTAATACTTCAGGCACAGAGGAGAGATTTTAAAAGGTACATATAAGCAGTACACTAATTTCCCCTTCCACCTCTGTGGATTTTCCTCTTCTTCTCCTGTAATGTACTTTGTTTAACTGCATTAGTCTCCTTCTTCTCCAAAAAGTATGTTTTTTTAAGACTCTGATGACAGCAGCATGATTTGTGGGTGCACATGACTTGTCATGCTAAAATTAAAAAATATCGCTCTTATTTTGAGTCTGCATTAAACTTTAAAAAAAAAGTGCATTGTGTCTGCTAAGTGACCTACTATAGCCCCTTTGTCTACAGTAGCTTTGCAGGGCTCTGAGAGCTTCATTGAGAGCAGAATTGTTTCCACACAAATTCAATTACTGGGAGACAGTGGGGAGGGAAAGTCCCAACTTAAAAAAAATTAAGGAAGCAATTAATAGGTTGATTTTGTTGTATCATGAATCAGTACTCAAATGTAAAACAACTACAGATTTAATACAGTAGAGCTTTCATAAGAATCATTGTATGAGGACAATATTTGTTTCTCCATACTTGATCTGGCTTATACCTTGGTCACTGTCAGTACTAAGAAGGATTTACTTAGGTCTTAGCTGGAATGTTTATTTTTTCACGAACACAGATTACATTTGTATCCTAAGATGTTTGTGCCTGGACCGTGTTCAATCATTAAGAAAAACCACTGAGATGCTATAACACTGCCATTGCTATGAAATGATCTTCATTGGCATCCAACCACTATAGCAAGTGCTGTGCAGTATACCAATTGTGGCCAATTCCCTCTGCCAATAAATTTGACAATGATACTATGAACAAGATGCAACAGAGAAAAAGGTCAGAAAATAGTGCCTTGGATTGATGTCTGCTTGCATTTAGAACCAAAATATATAAAGCTTCATAGTTCCTTTGAAGGTGGGGAAACAACAACCAAAAAAAAAAAAAAAATTAAAAAAAACCCCAACACCGAAGTGTTGAAATCTTGATAACACAAGTCCAGAATTGGGGTTTTTTTTTTAAATCTCCAGTTAAGTTAGGGCCTGACTGATGTTTTTCTTTTACACATGAATTATAACCTACAGAAACCAAAGCTGTATTGGCATGTTAGGAAAAATCACTAGCAGGATACAGCAAAATCTATCTCCAGCCTTCTACACAGGAATACTTCTGCTATTTCTCACCTGACATTACTGGATATATGGATCTGGTTAAGTGCTTAGTTGCCACTGGGTAGCTGGCCTGAAAACAACAGTGAGAAAGACCATACACTTTTGTATGTTTCTGTTCAACATGCATATGTGGAACTCATCGACTTGTTAATTCTTCCTTGGACTACTACAGTGCTTTCAATGCTGGAACCAGTTTTCATAGTCATGAGGAACTGCAAACGGTATTGAAAGCAATGGACTCAATATTAAATAGAGCAAGTAACAAGTGAGAGTTCCATGAGTACCTGTCTTCCAATCACCTAAAGGACACAGATCATAAGAGACGACCTCTCAGAATATAATCCAAAACTTTCCTACTTGTTAGGCCTCCCTGTTAGTGTAGTACTGCAGTGCTTTTGATCTGAGGTCATGCTCAGACAGGAGCTCAATATATAGCGAGAGAGAAACTCTGGCAGGGCTTCCTCCCTGGGGGACCTCAATTCTGGAATTTACTTCTTCCCCTGATCCAGTGCAGCCTGGATTTTTAGACCATCAGGGCACTTTGTTAGGTTCATCCGTTCCACTGTGAGCAGCCTCCTTCCCAAAGCTACCATTACAAACGCTTGCCTTGCTCAAGTTACTGCACTGTTGGATCCAGGTATTTCATTCTAGCACATCTTTAATTTACAGGGCTAGATTTATTTACGGAGCAGACCACTTCCCTCCCGGAAAGGTTATATACTTTTCATCACCTGTAATGAATATATAGTTTAATGAATTCATCAAGAGCCTGATCGAAAGACCTTGAAATGAAGGGGAGTCTGTTCAACAGTTTGCTGCCTCAAGAAAATACAGAACACTCTCCCTGGATTTTATATAACACAAAGGATGATGCATTTGCATTTAACAGCCAATTGTAAGCAAGAAATTTAATGCTTTTCTCCCGGGGCCCCATGATGTATGCAGTCTCAGCTAGGCTTTGATCCAAAACCCTTGACCTAACTCTTCAAAGTACAAATACTGCACTGCAGAAATTGTTTGATATGGATGCTCTCTAAACTGTTTCCCAGAGAACATTCAAATAAAACACGCATTGTACTTCCGTAGGCAGTTCTATACTCCTGTAGGAAAACTGACATTAATTTACAGAGAGGGCAATGATGTTGTTCAAGGATCATCAGGTGCTAAAGAGATGGACAGGCCTTCCTGCTGTCCAGCACATCCAGTAAGATGAGAAGATCACTGAAACAATGTGGTAATGAGTAACCAATTGTTTTGAGTGAGACTTCCCGTGGTACTGAGTCTGTACACTTTATAAATCATTGACAGGTCTGTTATGCAAGTGGTCCCTGGTACCTTGTAAACAGAGCTTCTCCATGCTCTGTTGATCTTTCCACTGCAATTTGTTGCAGGCCTAATAGCTGCTTAAATAATTTCTGACATCTTTAGATCAGACCTAAAAGTGTAAACCAGAACTCTTAGGCTTTGCTGGTAAATCTAGATACCTACCACTGAGCTTGAGGTATCTGCATTAGGGTGCTTGACATCTTTGGTGCAGCATGCTCAGAGCCTCCACAGCAAGCTTATTCTATTAAGTACCTAGGTCCTGTTTCTAATGTTTCAATTTAGGGAATCAAAATTGGAAATTCTGGTCCAAGGGCTGGGACACTCAAAAGAGAGGTGAAACTCTGGAGCAAGTAAAATCTGCATTAATTCTCTGAAGGAGAGTGCCGGTCCTGCAGAGTGACAAGGGCTCTGCATGGTCCAGCATCCGCAGGTAGTCACACCTCTCCAGCAGGTGACTACTGTGTGAAATACCAGCATTTACTGCCTACACAGCCTCCAGGAAAACATGAAGACTAAGTCTTAGGGACTCCAAACTTACCATTACTCTCTTGTCTGAGCTGTCAAAGGCACCAGATATGAGGATGTGGGCTCCTGCTAACAGTTCTCCTCTTGGAAAAGGAAGCATGAAAGAGGTGACAACTAGAAAACAAAGGAAAAAGACATCCCATTACATATAGGCATAAAATATTTTTTTGAGTGCAATGAAGCAAAGGTTCCTTACTAAACTAATCTCCTGTGTAACACATAGAGGAATTTCATCTGGTAGGGAAGGGAATTACTCACTCTTGGTTTGATTACCTCCACAAGCCTTAAAGTGTAAATACAGCAAAGTTTGATCTAAAAGTCACAAGTAACACTATGCACGTGGCATAATTCATCATTTGTCTACACATGTTTCATTTTCATCTTGCATGGAAGTGTTAGACAGGCTGTTTAAGCTCTAGCATTGAGTTTGTCAGCATAAAAGGGATGGTAATACTCACTTTCCTCAGGAGGTCATTTTTGCATTATTATTGTTGCTGTCACAATTAATTGTTATTAATAAACCAGATAGTTGTCACATCAGTAACAGGAGTTTCGCCTACTTAGGATTGCTAGGGTGTCATTATACTCATCGTTAATTATAAAGTGGCTTGGATGTTTTTTCTTGCTTTCTATGATAATGAGAAAATCTAAACATACATGTACTCTCAGCTAATAACACCAACTAGTGTGTACACTGGCAGACCCTAGAAACAGAAAGTTTAGTCAGATGGCAGTAAATTTCAGCAAAATACTCTGGATTTACACCAAGAGGAATGAGATCGGACTGAACTTTTTTTTAAATTTGCCTGTGTTTGTAATCACAGGCTTACTAGCCTACTACCAAAATTTGACCCAAACCACGTCAGTACTAGTGCCAAAAAATGCATTCTGGCCAAAACAAATATTTTACTTTCAGTAAATAAATTTTCACTTTCCTGCCTAAGACTAATGTTGTTGAATTACAGCTGAAAAGCTCAGAAGCTCTCTGCTTCCAATATAAGCTACTAATAAACGTAAGGGACATTCTGCATCACAGTCCAAGGGCCAGCAGGATCTTCTAATAAGAGTCTAGGAACTCCACAAAAGCATGAGCTAATGGAAAAAATATGACCAAATCTAATCCCCAGTAGAAATGTTCCTTATATCTGTCTTTTTCAAGAAACATGTTTACTGGTGTAACATTAGCTAATTCTTGGAGTTCTCAAGTCTGCCTACACAAGTATTAAGAAAAGGGTTTTAGAAAAATATGATGCATAGTATAGTTCAAGGCTCTGCATAAAACCGCAGATGATAGCCTTTCTTTAAATTATTATTCATTCATCGAAAAAAAAAAAAAAAAGAGTACTTCATTGTCATCAGGGGTTTGTTCTGCTGCTCTTTAGTGTAATTTAATAAATAAAAACACAGGAAGAGAAAAGGCAGCAAAATGCAGCTACAGATGGTAAGCTAGGAAGTTTGTAACTTCACCGTAAAACTGATATCCTCATAGCAAATCAATACTGAAACCTCAGTCTGAATGCCAACCAGCCCTGTCAGACCTATTTTCTTGCATTTTCGTTTTTCAGTATGCAGGAAGCTGTGCAGTCTGAAGAACTAAATTAGGCATCTGTCTTCCGAGTGTTAACAGCGCAATTCAGCAGGTCACTCCAGCCCCACTCTTAAGGCCTGCTTTTGGGCTCCCTCCATAAAGGAGCATCATTACAGCTGCAGAAGGCAGTTACGTGCATCACTCATGGTGTGGCAGGAAATTGGTCACAGCATGGTGTGCATTTCTCCTTGTTGTTATCATTATTTTCATTCACAGAAACAATTTAATAACCAACAAAGGAAGAAACTGCCATAAGCATTAGGCTGTTTTGTCTAGGATCCTGGCTCCAAGCCTTGAATTTTTGCCACTAGGTGATACGATAACATTAGCAAACAATAATGATAATACTAATATGATAAACAATATCAGAAGATAAAGGGAGCACAATATCTACTGTAACTGCTCCTTGACTGTTATTTTGTCTTTTTCTCACTTGTATTTCGGTACACCACTGATTATCCGCTTTCCTGTATGAGTCACATCACAAATTACATCATTTATTCTTTCACAGGGTTCAAATGATACCATAAAATATGGAGAGCAAAGCTTGCCTTGCACCCTAATGTAATCTAAAGTGCCTGGTGGTATAATTGTCTGCCTGGTGGCTGCTCTGCTTACAGGGCATTTAAAGCAAAGAAAAACAATATAACTACTTTTTTTTTTTTTGCTCCATTTATACTCATCTCATTCTTTCATACTACTGTGCCCGATTCTTTCTCTCACTTTCTCTTACCTACCTTTCCACTGGCCCCTTGTCCTTCCCTTTCCCAGCTTCTTTCCTTCCTCCTCAGTTTCCAGTGATAAATGAATCCTTTCTTTTTCCTAAGCCTGACACTGAAATTGTGTCCACAAAACCGTTTGAAAACTATTTGGGCTCTTTTAGGTAGGTGGGGTGTTCTACAGGTTTTAATCAACAACCATAATATCATCAACCGCATGCAAAAATGCATTGGACAAAGTGTCCAACTGAGCATGGAGCCATCCAGCAGATCTAATCAAACACACAACCAAATTGAGCAGAAACCACAGAAAATGTGCAAGAACATATTGAAACACCAGCCATGCATCACTGTCTTCCCCCTTTCCCTCTCATCTGGTCCACAGATTTGGGTAAAAAAATGTTTGGTAAATGTCATATAACCTTCATCTGAACCTGCTAACTCATCAACTTTTTATTGCATTTGCTTCTTGAATATAATTAATAAATTTTATATTTTTAAGTTCAATGATTTGTAAACATTTATAATTCAGATGCTTCAGATTAACTCTTTTTTTTGTAGAAGTTTTGTGTTGCTAAGGCAGAAGATAGAGCCATCTTCAGTATATCATCCTGGTATAATAGGGTGCATTTACTCTAAGAAAGCCAGGTCACAGAAAGTTTTTTCAGAACTACACATATACTTTCTATGCATTACAGTTCCAAGCTACACCACATGGGGTTTTTGTTTCTATTTGCACAAAACTCTTGTGTGCAAAGTGCTACTGCACACTTCATGCATGCAATTCTTTGCACATCTTTCTCTCAATAACTGCATTTTGAAATTGTTGCAAAGTTATCAAAAATTCCATTGCACACTGAAATTCAATAAAATCTGTTTTCCAAAACACAGGCTGAGTTTACACTGTTCAGTTCCATCATATATTCTATAATATGTCAAAAGTCCTAAAAATAATCCAGTAACAATTGCATTCAACAAGACTCTACTGCGATTAGCTGACAGCAAAAACACCCAGGCATTTTAAGATTTTAAAAATGAAATCAACGTTATCTAGCTGTTGTGCTCTCTTCTTCAGGAAATTAAGTTTGAAATACAATGCCTATCAAGGCTGTATTTTAGAAACATTTTCCCACAATTTCCGAATGATGAAAGAAGTAGCCACATAAAAAAGTATTCTTCCTAGCGCTTCATGGACTGCATGTTACGGCATGACCTCTGCTTTCCCTATCCACTCTTTATTCTGTAAATAATAGATAATTATACATTATATAGAACTATAATCATTGTTAATTTGTAATTTTCAAAGAGCTACCTGCAAAACAGAGCTACCGATGAAATTTATTTGTTATAACACAACTTCTTTTTAAAAAGACTACCTCTACAATCACCAATATATGGAAATTTTCACTTTTCTATTTAAAAATATGCAAAAACACAGAGTTTGTTTCCAAGACTGGTGGAGGAGAAACTCCTGTTCTATCCTGTCTTTCATAAATGCACCATAAATATCCTTCTTTTTTTCAGTGTTTATATACTTCCACTACAATTTAATACAGTGATTCCACGTGTGACTTTTTTTGTTTTGTCCATGACTTGCAAGATGGGCAAAACCACCAGAAATCCGTAATCTTAGGTAGCTATTTAGACCTATTGTCCTTGAGGAGGTTTTCTGCCTCTGGGTAGGGTTTCACATGGTCTAGGAATGATAATAGTGCTGTGGGTTGGGAAAACGTTTACCTCCGTCCTCGCAGCCTCCATTCTGGGATTGCAACACACAAGTCTTTGAGCTGTGGTTACGTCAGGGACAGCCCAAGGACTTTCGACCTAATTTAACTGTGATGAGTGGAAGTAACAGAAATGAGAAAACGGGGAAGGACTACGTCTAGCGGCCAAAAGATTTGTTGCTCTCACACCACAAGTACCTCAAGAAACTCATTTTCAGGTTTGCACTGGAAATTATGCTAGAGGCGAAGGGCTGCAAGCCCTACAAGGCACTGATAGCCAAACATCCCTGACAAGTTTTAAGGAGTGATGGAAAAGTTAGAAAGTGGGGTCATGGGTTTTCAGGTATTTGAAGGCCTAAGGTATGTTAACAAGAGTGTAGAACACGATTTTTTTCTTTTAATCAGATTCTGAACCAATACTTGCACCATCCCAGCAAAATGGCACTGTGCTACAGCTCAGTAAACAGAAAATACCAAAATGCTGATACGTAGTACCTCCTAGTGCCTATGAAAAGTCACATAGCGTGCACACGCTGTTACACATTACAGACATTTCATACAGTATCACTCTCTGGAATAATGGTGGTCTTGATTGTCTTTCCAAAAGTGAAAGGTGTAAATCTAATGCTTTTTTGTGAACATTTTTGAAATAATAGCCATTGGTTCAAATCATATCTGGAGGAACAATCTGACTTGCCTGCATTTCCACATATTTATGGTTTACATTCAGCTCTCAAAATGTGGTTCCGAACTACCAAACCCACAACAGCTGTTTTCGGAAACAAGCATTTCTTATCATTTGGTATCAAGCATTAGAGCCCATTAGAGTATGGAAGGAATGCCACAAATGAACCAGGTTCCTAGAGTCCTGGGAGATTTGTTTCAATTTCTAATCAAACTGGTTCCCAGACTTAATTCAATCAGCCTTTATTTTTCCTACATCTTGGCAGGAAAAGGACTTTTTTTTTTTTTTTCCAGAAGCAATTACTGTAAATATAAATGGCTAAGCACTCAAGCAGTATATTAACAATTCTAAATCCTTTTCTTCTGCTCTTGATCATAAAATCTCTTCCTTCCAAGCAA